GGCCTGTGAAGCGAGATTTTGGAGGGAGGGTTTATTTCAATACCGCTGATGAGTCTTCGGTTTGCCTTGGGGGGAGGGCTTCCGATGGAGCCGAAAAATAGGATGGGGGGCTTCCGACAGGGGAGTTCCAAGGGGGGAGGGGGCTAGCTAAGCGCCCCCCCCCCCCCTTTGGAAAGGGAGGGGGGTAGATTCAGCGCGAAATGGGGGCGGGCGGGTCGTTCCGAAGGGGTGAAAAAAGGCAGGGCTGGACCTAAACGGTGTTTTTGGTGATCTCGTGGGCAGTTTTCGTTTCGACTTCGTTTTGCGTTAAAGGCAGGTTGGCGACAAAAGCGAGGGAAAACTAAAGCAAAACGACAACGAAAAACACCGTTCAGGTTCAGCCCTACAGAATAAGAGAGGAAGGGTGGGGCTCCCGGCAGGAGAGGTCCAGGGGGGGGGGTAGCAGCCCTCCCCGCCCCGTGGGAAAGGGGGTGGGGAGCGCGAATGGAACAAAGGACGGGGGGGGGCGGTCGAGTGCGTGGGAAAAAAAAGGAGGGGGAGGGGGGGTCCAGCAGGGCAGGCCCAAGGGGAGGGGGAGGGTAGCTTATAGGGGGGCCCCCCCCCCCCCCTGTGGGGAGTGCGCCACGGGCCCCCCCCCCCCTCCCTGTGGGGAGTGCACCACGGGCGCGCCCTCTCGCATGCCACGGCCGGCGAGCCGCGCAGCCAAACGTCACTCTGGACCCATCTGCCCAGGCATCCGACGCCCGCGAACCAGACCTCCTCCTCCTCCTCCTCCTCCTCCTCCTCCGCCGCCTCCTCCTCCTCCTCCTCCTTCTCCTCCTCCTCCTTCTCTCTCCGCTTCCTCCTCCTCCCTCCTCTCCTCTCCTCCTCCCCCCTCCTCCTCCTCCTCCTCCTCCTCCTTCCTCCCTCCTCCTCTCCTCCTCTTCTCCTCCTCCTCCTCCTCCTCCTCCTCCTCCTCCTCCTCCTCCTCCTCCTCCTCCTCCTCCTCCCCCGGGGCCCGGTGGGGACTCCGAAGGCCGAGATCTGCCGCACCCAATCGCCACGTTTGGTGCCCACGGAGCGATGATGCCGGGCCTGCGTGCAGCCGGATGTGTCGGAGGGTCAAGGTCGCCGTCGTCTCCTGAGATCTGGTGGTCGCGAGAACGTGTGGCATCACCGGACGTCACGACCGGAGCCCCGGACCCCTCCTCTCTGCGACACATCTCGGGCCAGGTCGATCCAAGAGGGCCCACGGGCCCGGAACCGCGCAGAGGCGCCGGGCAGGAAACACACGCGCAGCGCCCAGATCTCAGGGCCCGCATGGTTCGCAACAAGGCCAGTTGAGACCCCAGACATCGGGTGTCTCGTACAAATCGAGACGGAGGTCTTAGGTCTTTCGTAGTTTTTGGCCTCTCGGGGCCTTCAGCGGGCCTCGGGGCCGTCGAACAAATTATTCGGGATGAACAACCAGTCCCAGGGGAAGTGGTCGGGAGGTCGCGGGCCCGCGTCTCGAAAAGGTCGAGACGTCCGATGGTTGGGACCCCAGCGGCCTTCCAACCCCTGCCAAATGCGCTTCAACTCGGTCGCCCCAGACCCCTCCTGGGGTCCGTCCTGACCCGCTTCGCAGACGGTCCACCTTGGAGGCCCAAGAACGGACAAGAATTAATTCGTGCCTGTCCCTTTACACGGGGGATGTGAAAACTAGTTCAAAAAATAGTCACGGACGATTATTTCTACAATGATTGATCATTTCGAGAGTCTTTTTTGTTATGAATGTTTCGTCGAAAATTCCCCTGTAGCGGGACAGGCCCGTCCTGAGACAAGAAGGCGGGCGAGCCGCCGGGGTCTCGAGTGGCCCTCCTCCGAGTCAAGGCCGCACCTGAGATCCAACGGCTTGCGTAAATGCAACCTTGCGAAAACTTGCGATCGGAGTCCTCGACTGAGTTTGCTGCGCCCTTCCTCGAGCCGGATCGATCTGTGAGGTCCCCGTGGCCCGAAGCCCAGCGGAAGCGCCTAGAGTGACAAAAGGTGCGGTGCTCTGGTATCTCAGGGGTCGTCGTCGTCGTCGCCGCCGCCGCCGCCGCCGCCTCCGTCGTCGTCGTCGTCGCCGCCGCCGCCGCCAGCGACGTCGTCGTCGTCGTCGTCTTCGTCGTCGCCGTCGTCGTCGTCGAGGGCGACGTCGGCGTTCGCGTCAGCGCCGGCGTTGGCGTCGGCGTCGGCACGCCGCCACAGGAAACGGTGGCGGCTGTCCGGGAGGCGCTGGGCGGCGGCGACGAGCGCGTCCCGCAGCCGCCCTCCTGGCGCGACGCGGTGCACCGTCAGGTTCCTGGACCTTTCGTGAGGGCCCCTCGGGGAAGAACCCACCCACTTCGACGCGAACGTTTTTCGCTGGTGGTTGCGGTCGATCTGGCCGTCCTGGGGCGCCACATCGACCACGACCAGCTCGAAGTTTGCTTCGGTATTCTGACGATTATTGGCATGCGCGGGACATTCCCCAGGGTGTGTCTTCGATGTGGTCGTGCTCGCTTTGCTGTCTCCGCACAGGTGGTTCCCCGACGGCCTCCCCCGGAGCAGGCCTCGGCGAGGGGGAAGGGGCTGCTCTTGTCAGGGGGAACGTTCGGGAGGTGGGGGGGGGAAGTAGGATCGGGAGGGAGTCGTATCGACCCACGCTCGTTTTTGTATATATATATATATATAAATCACCTGGTAATCAGATGTGCCAGCAAACGCATCATATGGCAGACGGTTTAACTCGCATATCATCCGTATCTCTTTGGGTTCCACCCACTCAGGGCCATTGGACTTGGGCGTCCCGATTCAGACAATCGCTTGCCACGCGCAGCACAATATCATCGCCAGTTTTTGCAACAGGCTATTGCGACAACTGCTTATCTCAACATCGCCCGCGCTTTCGCATTGTGATTCTTGTCTGCAGTAGTGGATATGTATTGGTAGCGGGCGCTAAGTCGATCACGGCAACTCTGGGACCTGGCGGTCAACGGCGTTCACGGCCTGGCAGTATCAGAACCATTGCAATATACAGTTTGTGCACATACAATTTTGTGTCGCCAGCCATTCGTCGACATTGCGGGCGGCCGTTGCTGCCACAGTTGGCGGCGACGACAGCGCAGGCGGGAGCAGACTCCCCATCCCAAGTTTCGACGGCACGAACAATAGTATGAGAAACTATTGCGGGGAGGTCGCCGTTCGGGAGATCGGCGCCGACGTGGCGGTCAACCGCCATGTAGCGCCACTCAGAAGGGCAAGGTTCAGAAGGCGTGCGAGGAGCTGGTCCGTCAGGCATCACGGACGACAGCTCGGTGGCAGTCTTCCTCCAATACCCCAGGGGCAAGTTTCCAGATATCGAAGCGTTGGAGACTTCAGCGCTACTGGAGACCTTCGCTTAGCGGGCAAGGCTAGAGTACAAGTGCGAAGAGATCCGAGATATAAACGACCGTTTCAAGAGGTGTGGCGAGCAAGATCAAGGCTCGAAACATCAACGTTCCCGACGAGGTCGTGGCTGACCTGTGCATCAAGGGCGCAATGTTGCCACGGGAGCGCGAAGCTCGCGTGCGCCTCGCCGTGGGCAACGTGCCCATCCCCGCGAAGTTGCACCAACAGCCCGTGGTCAATTTATCGAAGGCATCGGTCGTCGACAGCAGCAGACGCGACAAGGACCACGACAACGGCAATGGCCACAGAAACAAGTAGGATGGTCATCACCGCCGCAAAACCTACGCGCGGAGTTTGTCGACCACGACGATCCAACCTCCGACTCCGACTCGTTGGAGCCCAGCGGTGTTTCCCACGAGTAATTGGGCGCTGTCGACGATGCCGAAGGGCAGGTCAGGCTCTTCGCCAAGGAGAGGCCGCGCGCGAAGAACAATCGCAAGGACGCCAGCCAGGGCGCGGGTTACTTCGCCAAACGGGGCGGCGGGCGGCCGCTTAGGAGGGGCGCGGACAAGGTCGCCAAATATGAGCGCCAAAGCTCACTGCGGGTTCGTCGGCGAGAAGGGCCGCCGGCGCGGAGGCACGCAGCGCCGGGGGGGGGATGAGGGGCTGACGGAGCGCGCGGGCTGCCGCGCAAAGCCCCCGACAGGTCGAACATGCCATCGCGCGATGGGGAGATCGGCCGAGCGCGCGACGAACGACGCAAGGATGACGGCCGCCCCAGTGCCCCATCAACAAATTGGGGCGATGGCAAAGTTGCGGGCGGCCCGCAGCGGTATCAGAGGAGGTCGCCGCGGCGCGCTTCCACATCAGCGCGTAGTAGTTTCACGCCGCAGGATCGGCGCTGGCGCGCGTCGGCGCCGTGGCCCTGCTGACGGCGTCGGGTGCCGAGCTGACAGTCGACGCAGCCGCCTGCTCGATGTGCGTCGGAGTCCTGGGCTGGCGCGCCGACTTCAAACACGACGGGTGGCATTCGGCATCGAGCCCATTGAGTGGCCCGAGAAGGGGCCGTTCCGCTTCGGAGTATGCACGGTCGTCTGCCGCGCCAGTGCGGCATTGATTCCCTGCGCCGGGAGCGGCGCGGCGTTCGCCGCTCGGATGAGCATCGCCAGGGGCGCGGCCCCCAGATTGTTCTGCAATCGAGCCCAGAGCGAGCTGGACTCACGCGAGACATCGAGACGATCAAGGAGGAGGGCGTCATGGTAGTCCTGGGCCGGGCCGGGCACCCAACGCTCGACGCGCACGTCGCGCCGAGTTGCATGCCCGCGCTGGATGTGGCGACCATGGCGATGGAGATGCGCCTGCGCCCTTGTGGGCCAATCGCGTTGAGACGATTGCGCAGCGCTTGCCTCGTTCTAAAGCAGTTGCCCAGGCCAGTCGACTCAGGGGCCGACGCGTCAGAGGGCGACGAGTCCCAGTCCGAGACTGACGCCATCAGCTATATCGACTGCTCGGCGCTTTCGAGTAGCAGGTGCGCGAGGCAATTTGCGCCCGCGTGCCATCGCGACGAACGTCGTCACCATCAGAGCGAAATCGCCGGGGATCGCGCCAAAAACGGCAACAGAGGGGTCGACTGAGCAAGCAGCGCCAAGCCGATCGCCCGCAGCGCCGGCGAAAGCCAGCCGACATGAAGTCGCACATCCAGCAGCACTCATGGGGTGAGTTGCGTGAACATGCACCAGCACGCAGGAAAGATACAGCATGATCATCGCAGCCGCCCGTCGCGAGCTCATTCGTGCTCCCCTCCATTAGCGGCCAAGTGGCCACGGCGGTCACCGCCATCAACGACGCGCGGACAGCTCGACCGCCCCCGTGCTAGCCGCGCGCGGCATCTCCCGCGGGGGCGAAGCTGAAGAAGCCGAACTGGCCGAATTCGAGCACTTCCCGTCCGCCTGCCATCGGCTGCACGCGCGCCCCGGAGCTGCAGGCGGACGGGGGCGCCCCCAGACCTGGGCGTCGCGCGCTTCGGCACATGCCCTCCGGCCACCTGCCGCTACATCCTGAAGACTGACCTGGGGTGCTGCCGGTGGGCGGTGCTGGACTTGGACTGCGGGGGGGCATCGCCGTTTCCGACACCCTTTGCCGGGCGGGTCATGGCTCGCGCCGCGGAGCCCGTGCGCGGAGAGCACGTGCGCGGCGGCCGAGGAGATGGTCCTCGGCGAGGACTGCCAGGCGCTGCCGGCGATCGCCGCGGGGGCGCGCACGCCTGGCGCCCGCGCTGTCCAGGGGCCCGCGCGATGGGCGCTTCGGACAAGGGCTCCCAGGAGGTCGGGGGCCACGCCCGCGCGGCGGAGTCCGATGGCCCGAGCGGGGGCGGCGCGAGGCGGTCGGCGGCGGCGGCTGCCGACTGGGCCACCGGGGCCGCGGGGGTCGACCTGGCGGCCAGGCATGCAGATGGGCGAGCTCGTCGGCTTCCTGCGTCACGCCACGAGCACGCTAAGCTCCTTCGCTCTGCAGGCGGTGCTCGCAGCAGAAGATCTGTCGCAACCGCTCCAGCCCGTCGCAAGATGCGCCTCGGGCGCCCTCCCGGACGTTTCAGATCGCGCCGAGAGCGCCGAGGAGGCCAGCGTCATCGAGCTTCTTTCGGAGGCGAGGGCGGCGTCGCCAACAATGCTCTGGGCCGCGACGCGACGGTGATTCTAGTCATCGACCGCCAGCGCGGCTGGGGCCGCCATGAGCTGCGTCATCCCGAAGTGGCCAACGAAGGTCGTTATGGTCAGCGATCGAGGTTCGCGTTGGTCGAGCTTCTTCGCGCCTGCCGCGCGAACATTGCGCGCCTCAGCTCAAGCGCCCCGCAGAGGAAGCAGGCCCTGCGGCGGTGGCGTTTGGCGCGGCGGCCGCGGCTCTATTTGGTTCGCGACTTATTCTTCGTTCGGCTCCGGTGTGGTGATGCGGCCGCGGTCGAAACTTCAGCGACAAGTCGGTCATGGGTGCACTTTCGGCCGAGCGGAACAACCGGCCGATGGGCGCGCAGAGCAGGTCAGGCGCGACGCGCGCGAGCGCGGGGACCGACGCCAGAAGTTGGGGCAGCCGATCGCGCGCCCCGCCAAGCTGCGAACCGCTCATCGCGAGCTCGAGAAGCTACGGTGCCCCTGCAGCCACTGGTGCCAGCGCGATCGGACGTTCGGGGACAACGCGGCGGCGCGCCTGTCTTGCGCTCGCCCGCCATGTTGATGCCGCGCGGTGGTGCTCAGTGTGTAGATGTTCTGCTGCGCCGGCAGCTCGGGCGCCCTACCTGCGCGAACGACACCGCGTCCATGGCGGGTGCGGATGGGCCCACTTGCGTTCCAGACGCCATTGGTCGCGGGGGCGATTTCGCACACGCTCGCGCCGTGGAGGCCGTCGACACCGTGGGCGGCAGGACCGAGGTCTGCGCGTTCACCTTCACATAGACAGCATCAGCCTTCTGCAAGCCAGCCGAGCTGGCGCTGCTCAAGAGACCGCGCTTCAAGATGGGCCATCCGTCTAATGGAAAATTTGGTCGCAGACTGCGGCTCAGAGGCGCAGGTCGGCCACCGATCAGGCCGTCGAGGGGCTGATCTGCGGCGCGCTCCGCTTGGGGGCGCCTGGGCAGCGATTCGGCGACGATGCGGGGTCCGATTGTTTCGAGATCAAGATGCATGTCGGCGAGTGCTGTTGGATCTGCAGCATCGTCGACTTCCCCGTTGCTTTCCGCCTCGCTTCGCCGACAGGCCGCCATTCGAGCGCCGAGTGCGCGGCAGCCCCAGAGGCGCGGGAGGCGAATAAGACCGATTACGTCCACTTCGGACAGTTCACGACCTACTTGGGCGGATTCGGGAGGACGTCGTCGCTGTCTCGGGCGCGAAGCACCGCCTGGGAGGGGGGTCTCGCCCGCCGCTTTTCCATGTGCTCCAGCCCCCGGCTCGATTCCACCCGCGACGCCCTGATGACCGAAACAGGTTCCCAGGGGCCAGATGCCGGAATGGGCCTCCCGGGAGGAGAAGGGGCACGACGGGAGGAGGAGGAGGAACAAAAAGGAAGAGGAGGGACACGACGGGAACGCGGGGGGGGGGACGAGGAGGAGGAGGAAGAGGGGGCTTATTTTGTATGTCCATCATGTCAAATTCATTTAACACATATTGATTCGATTTTTACTACTACTACTACTACTACTACTACTACTACTAACTACTACTACTACGAACACCACTACTACTACTACTACTACTACTACTACTACTACTACTACTACTACTACTACTACTACTACTACTACTACTACTGACTACTATGACTACTACTACTACTACTACTACTACTACCACTACTACTACTACTACTACTACTACTACTACTACTACTACTACTACTACTACTACTACTACTACTACTACTACTACTACTACTACTACTACTACTACTACTACTACTACTACTACTACTACTACTACTACTACTACTACTACTACTACTACTACTACTACTACGACTACTACTATTAGGTTTATCATGGTATGGCGTCCTGCCACAGCGTTCTAAACTAATTATCCCCGTCCCTTGAGGTCGGGGCGTTGCATTGTTGTGGAGCTGGGCATTTTTCGCCCAGTTTCGGGCTCGGGGGGCCTTCACACATCGATCCGGTGATGGGATCCGAGGCTTTTGCCGTGATGTTGACGATGCTTTGTTTTGGGGGCAACATAGGACCTGACCTCAGGGGGGGATGTCTTGTTTTGCGTGGCGTGGCGTCCTTCAGCATCGTCCAGCTCATCTCCATCCCCACTGGGCCATGGCATTTGGGCCCGACCAGTCCACACTCTTAGGTGGGGATCTGCCCCGCGAGAGCTCAAGGCGTGGTATCCGTTCCGGGGTGTGTACGTCGGCCAGTGTGTGGCCCAGGCCACGCCAGTGGGCAGAGGGATCGATCAAGCGATGCCCAGTCCGCTTCCAGCGCGTTCGGCGTTCGCAGCACGCGCTTTCCTTTTTCGTTTCCTCGCCGGGGCGCGCAGAGGAGGCGCTTCGGCGCTTGCTTGGTACGGCGGTGCCGTCGGCAAGGTGTGGCCGGGCCACGGTCGGGGCTCAAGAGGAGGGGGGTCGATGCAAACGGGCGGTAGTCAGAGCGCCGTGTCTTGCAGGACCCTGCAGGGCCAGGGGTGCACTGCCTCGGGTCTGCGCGCAGGATCTTGCGAGGCCCTGAAGGATTTCGCAGGACCCTGCAACGCCCGACTAACCCAAATTTTGGTCGACCCAGGCCAGCAGATTCCCGACACGGGTACCCGACTACGGTGGGGGTGGTCGTTGTGGAGCGTGCTCATGAGGCCGCAGACACTCCATGATTCCTTAGCTGAGGAGGGCGGCGGTGATATCCAACTGCTTCCAGACCTTGCATCCCTTCTTCAACGCTTCCTCATCACGTGGCCTCACCGTGCTTGACTTCCGGGCTGGATCGGATGGCCTCTGCTCCGTGCAGAGGGTGGGACGCTCCAGAACACCAACCTGTCTGAGGCGTGAGATGCGCACCAGTAGCTGCGCCCCAGCGAGCGCGCTCCGGGGGTAACGGCCGACCGAGGCCCCAACCGTGGCCCGTCCACCGATATTCGCGCGTTGTGAACCCCATCCCGTCAATTCGGTGGGGGCGTTGGAAAAAGGAATGTGCCCGAGAGGCTTCAGAACCTGGAGGGTTCCTGGTCTGATAAGGGCTGCGGTGACATCCGTGGCCAAGCCTCAGTTGGTCTTCCACAGGCTTCTAGACACTAGATTACTTATCCAATGCCCTCGCCGTCGTGGCGAATGTTGTGATGTGAGCCGTCGGCGGCGTGGCATTTGCTGTGCGTGATTCGTGCCACGGCTTCTCTTGCATTCTCGAGCTCTATGCGTGGTCGCGGGCCGAAGCCCTCGCAGTGAGAAACATTCGAGTGGGGGATCGACTACATAATTGATTTACCCCAGAATTGATTCTTTCGTCGAATCTACGAAGGAATACGTAGAATGTTCGCGGATGTCTACGTATTCCTTCGTGTATTCGACGAAAGAATCAATTCAGGGGTAAATCAAATCTGTAGTCGATCCCCCACTCGAAACATGCCCTCGCCGTTGATGGTCCAGGATGAGAAAGGCTGGTGCTGGGCAGGAGGCCCAGAGCTCTCGATGGGCGTGCTTTCCACCGCCACCACAAGTTGGAGCGGGGAGGAGCAGGAGGAGGAGGAGGTGGGAGGAGGAGGAGGGATGATGATGATGATGATGATGATGATGATGATGATGATGATGACCATGATGATGATGACCATGATGATGATGATGATGATGATGATGATGATGATGATGATGATGATGATGATGATGATGATGATGATGATGATGATGATGATGATGATGATGATGATGATGATGATGATGATGATGATGATGATGATGATGATGATGATGATGATGATGATGATGATGATGATGATGATGATGATGATGAGATGATGATGATGATGATGATGATGATGATGATGATGATGATGATGATGATGATGATGATGATGATGATGATGATGATGATGATGATGATGATGATGATGATGATGATGATGATGATGATGATGATGATGACTGATGCTGATGATGGTTCTGATAATGGCATTGGTTATGATGAGGGTATTGTATATGATGGCGAGGATGGTGGTGATGGTGCTGCTGATGCTGGTGCTGCTGATGATGCTGATGGAGGAGGAGGAGGAGGAGGAGGAGGAGAGGAGGAGGAGGAGGAGGAGAGGAGGAGGAGGAGGAGGAGGAGGAGGAGGAGGAGGAGGAGGAGGAGGAGGAGGAGGAGGAGGAGGAGGAGGAGGACCTCCTCCCTCTCCTGCCTGTGGTGGTGGCAGTGCAAAGCCGGCCCAGCAGCCCGGGGAGCCGTGCCGTGCCAGGAGCGGTGGCGTCGGGGGCCTGGGGCGGTGGCCAGGCCCGCCCCGTGCCCTGGAGCGGTGCGCACGCCCTCGCGGCCCAGGCACGGGTCCAGGCCTCCCAGATTTGCAGGTCAGGCGCGTCCCTCTGCAGAAGGGATATTCAAAAACAGGCAAGAGTCGAAGACAACTGGGGGCGTTTGTTTTGTTCCTATTTTTCTGGAAAGCAACAATCATGTGAAGAAAGTTGTGGCACTGCTGCGTGTTTCGCCCAAAATCCGCCCGTATGGGGGACATGCCCGACCTAAGGTTGCATGCCTTCTCGGCCAGACATGGGTCCAGGCCTCCTGGATGGGGTCGTAAGGATCGCGCCGCCTCGACGATGCACGGGCGATGCGGCTCGATGTAGGGCCTCATGTTTGCCGATGCACCGCCGACGTCGCCGATGCATCGGCGATGCATCGCCGATGCATGGGCGATGCATCGGCGATGCAGCGCGATCCTTCGACCACACCTGCAGTGACCATCCATAGTGAGGACGGGTAGCGTTCTCGAGGGCACCCCTGCAGCCTTCGCTTTGCTCGGCAGTGCGCCGCTGGCAAAGTTTCAGCTGGGGCGCCCAAGGACCGTCCAAGGGTCTTGCGTCCCTGCAGCGCTTCCCTACGAGAGATTTCGACTGCACTCGGACCCCACTTAGGAGGCCTCTGTTGGTTCTGGGTGGGCCTCGCGGGCCGGGGGCGGCGGCGCGCTGGCCGTGGCCCCGCGCTACACGGTGCCCGCATTGGCCGGGTTCGCGTGTGGTCCAGGCCGGCAGTGGACACTCTGGCAGTGCTTGGCCGTCGGTTGCATTTCCGCAGTTGGCGCGCTGCACTATATCTATATATAGATATGTTTGTATACATACACACATATGTATATGTATGGATGTATATATAAATATGTGTGCGTATGTGTGCAAGCATGTGTACGCAGTGTGTTATATATATATATATATATATATATATATATATATATCAGTAAGGGCTTCGCCCCCTGCCGCCGGCCCCCCCTCTCGGAGAATGGGCCATGGAAGAGCTAAGTCATGAGGCTTTGGCGCTGTCGTGCAGCAGTATCGGAACTTCATGCGAGGCCGATTCGCAATCGGCAAAACCAACTGATCACAAGAGGGGTTACCACACAGGGCGATTGGTAAGACGTGTATGGTTTACGAGCTTGGTTACCACACCTTGGGATTAAAGGGCCGAGGGAGTACTCGCAGTTTGGGTTACCACGCCTTGCGATGGATCTGCGTGAGGGGTGGCACCGAATTTCAGAAATGTGGCAAATCCCCTGTGTTTTTGGACCCTGACCCCGCGGATCTGCGTGAGGGGTGGCACCGAATTTCAGAAATGTGGCAAATCCCCTGTGTTTTTGGACCCTGACCCCGCGGATCTGCGTGAGGGGTGGCACCGAATTTCAGAAATGTGGCAAATCCCCTGTGTTTTTGGACCCTGACCCCGCGGATCTGCGTGAGGGGTGGCACCGAATTTCAGAAATGTGGCAAATCCCCTGTGTTTTTGGACCCTGACCCCGCGGATCTGCGGAGGGGTGGCACCGAATTTCAGAAATGTGGCAAATCCCCTGTGTTTTTGGACCCTGACCCCGCGGATCTGCGTGAGGGGTGTAGATTTCGAGCCCCCCCAGCAATTCAGACAACGCGCCCAGGGGGTGCTAAAAAGCCGGTTTGGGCCTCCCCCCCCTCGCGCGGTCAATCAACTAGTTACAGTAACCAGCAATAAGTCAACTAGTTACAGTAACCAGCAAGAAGCAGAACTGTAACACTGGAAACTACAACCTACGACTGGTACAGGAAACTGCGACTCACGGGCCTACAGCCTGGTGGCCCCACAAGGGGGCCAGCGGATATAGATATCAGCATTTACACGTATATGCATGCATGCATTGTTCTATGCATCGAGAGAGAAGGGAGAGAGAGAGAGAGAGAGGCAAGTAAAGAGAGAGAGAGAGAGAGAGAGAGAGCGAAAGGTCGCAGTTCTGTCTGCATCCAGGAGCCCAGAGCCCTTCGATTCCGGGCAGGGGAGATATTGGCGCCCTGGGGTGGCGAGGCCGACGGCCCTGGTCAGGGCGGCGGGCAGCGCAGAGGCGGCGCCCTCGCGCGCGCGCGCCCAGGCCGAGACGAAGGGCTTCCAGGCGTTGGCGCAGGACGAGGCAGCGCTCGAGGGGGGATGAGCGGGAGGAATAGCACGTAGCAGCAAGTAGGTGTTTCGGAAGGCAGGTGGGTAGGTAGGCAGGTGAGTAGGGGGGGATTGAGGCCGAAGGGCGGAGGAGGGAGGAGGAGGGAAGAGGAGGAGGACAGAAAGGAGGAGAAGTAAGAGGCGGAGGGAAAGGAGGAGGAGGAGGAGCGTGGAGGAGCGTGGAGGAGGGATGCTGATGATGATGAGGAGGAACCAGGGGAAGAAGAGCAAGAGGATGAGCTAGGTGGGATTACGAGGAGAAGAGATGTTGTTCGCCGCGGGCTTTGCTCTAGGCGTGTTCTGTCCGTGTAGCGGCGGGCGGCGCACATGCCGAGAGGGCCTGCCGCGTGCGCAACCGCCGAGTATGGTTCAAGCAAACAGAGAAAGACGGGCATGTAATAACAATCGATGGGCTCGACCAAGAGGCCGAGCGTGGGAGGCGTCGGGAGGCGACGAAGGCCGCGGATGAGAGGAGGCAGGACGGAGGAGGCGAGGAGGAGAGGAGGATGAGGAGGGATGGGGGGGAAGAGGAGGACTTTCCGTGGGGTGCTGGACTCAAGAGTTCTGACCCTCCGTCTCATGTTCCCTTCTCTGCACCCCCGAAGTACTTTCACCCCAATGCCCTCATACTGACGATGATGCTGATGATGATGATGCTGATGAAGACGATGATGATGACGGTGATGATGATGATGATGCTGATGATGATGATGATGATGATGATGATGATGATGACGATGACGATGATGACCATGATGATGATGGTGGTGATGATGATGATGATGATGATGATGATGATGATGATGATGATGATGATGATGACGGAGCAGGTTTAGAGGATGTCTCAGGCGAGGCGCTGGTTTCAGCACCCCCAGCGGGGGTCGCCCGGGGTTAACTATCTGACTCCTCCGTTCGCGCCCAGGTTGCGGGGACGTCTCGAGTGGTGTGCCTGTTGGCATTCCCAACGGCCTTCGCTTTTGGAACAGATGTCTCTTGCGAGGCGCTGGTGTTCGCACACACAATTGGGGCGCCATTGAGCACCTTACTCTTGCATTCGCGCCCAGATTGCCGGAATGTCGAGTGTTTTGTTGGTATGCATGCCCAACATCTTCCGCTCTCGGAGCAGATGTTGAGGATGTCTTTGGCGAGGCGCTCGTTTTCGCACACCCACGGGGGCCCGCCAAAGGGTATCTCATTCCTCCGTTCGCGCACAGATTGTGGGGACGTCTCAGGCAGTCTGCTTGTTTGCATGCCCAATATCATCAGCTTTCAGACAGATTTGAGGATATCGGCGAGGCGCTGTCGTTCGCATTTCAGGGGGTCCCAGATTTCTAGGATGCTTCGAGCGGTTTACTTATTTTGGTGGCCAGACCAATCTGCGTTCAGAGCAGAGTTTGAGGATGTCTCCAGCGAGGCGCTGGTTTCAGCACCCCTAGGGGCTCAGCTTGCCAGGATGTCTCGGGCGGCGTGCCTGTTTAGGTGGCCAGGCCCGGTTGCGTTCAGAGCACAGTCCGAGGATGTCTCGAACGAGGCGTTGGTTTCAGCACTCCCCAGGGGGAGCCGTCAGGGTATATGTTACTTCCCCGTTCGCGGCCAGTGTGGTGATGTCTCAGGCGGTTTGCCTGTTTGGTGGCCAAGGCTTTTTTGAGAGCTTCATGGTCGCCGCGAGAGCGCCCGCAATATAGCAAACGTCGCATGCATGTGGACAACCTGAGGAGTAGCCGCCAGGGAGGGGGGCACTTGCCAGGGAGGATAAAGGAGGGGGGAGGACGGAGGAGGAGGGAGGAGGAGGAGGACGACTCGGCAAACCATTGCGAGTGGTGATGACTCGGGTCAAGGCTCACTTGGCGGTGTCTGGCGCCTCGTCACCACATAATCTCTTACGGTCAGGGGGAACGCCCATGCCGACGCCAAGGGGAAGGAGGCGGCGCTCGGAAACAAGCGGTCGGGAAGGGATATCAAGGAGTGCAAGCATGCACGAAGCTATCTGCGGTAGGTTCGTGTCGTGGCGACCCCGCCATTGGCGTTCCACGTTGAACGCAGCGGGCGACCCAGAATCGTTTCGGGCGACCCAGGGCGCCGATGTGGAAAGATTTGGATGTTTCGGACACGGCCGATCGTTCGAGTTTGAACGATCCGCGCGGCGTTATGAACCAGCGCCGGGGTCGACGCGACGCGAACCTGTCGTACGAGGGCTGCTAAAGCAAAGATGGACACTTTAGTCCTGTGGCCGCCCACGAGGGAGCTGCAGGGAACCCTCGAGCAGGCGCCTCGTCCTGCCCCCGTCCCCGGCGGCCGCTGGATTGCACCTCGTGGTCTGGCCCCAGGGGGCGCGGCACTGTGTGTCCTGGCACAGGAAGGGAAGGCAGCTCGCCTCGGACCTCCTCCTCCTCTTTCTCTTATCGAACATGGCGTGCCGTACTCTGTCGGGTAGCATGCAAGACGTGCTGCGTACAGCCAGGACACCTGGCTACGAGCACCAGACCTGGGCAAGCTAAGGAGGGGCATTATGCCAGGTGGGCAGGGGCAGCTTCTGGCCAAGCCATGGCCCCGCCGCTCCCTTCCCCCGCCCTCCTCCGCAGGACGTCCTCACCTCCCCACCTACTCCCAGTTGGCCGTGCAATTGGTCGACCTTGAGGCCCTGCGCCCTGGGGTGGAGAGAGGTGCAAACAAGATCCCCATTTTGTGAGGATGTCGCAGGCGAAACGCCCCCCCCATCCCCAGACCATTTTGGATATCCGACACCCGATCTCCAACATGTAATTTTGGGGGTGCCTCAGGCGAAGACTGTCTTTTGGAAAGAATTAGCGTCGAACATTTCTCCAACATTCCCATGGTGTGAGGATGTTCCAGGCGAGAAACAACGCCCCCCAACTCACACACACACACACCACACACACACACACGCGCACACACACAAACACAAACACAATCACAACCACACAGAAATACACACGAACACACACAACAAAAAACAAACAAACACACACGCACACCATTTTGGATATCCGACGTTCGATCTCTAGCATGTCAGTATGTTCCTGATGTCCATTTCGAAAGTTTTATATTTGAAAGCCAAAGTCGTAAATCAACTCCAACATCCCCCTGTTGTGAGGATGTCTCAGGCGAAGCGTTCCTCCACAACGTGTTGGATATCCAAGGCGAGATCTCCAACATCTCATTTTTATGATGAGGTCTCAGGCGAAAGCCTCATGTTTGAGAAGTTGCGAACTAGCGTCGAACAACAACTCCTCCAACATCCCCATGTTGTGAGTATGTCTCAGGCGAAGCGCCCCCCCCCCCCGCAGCATGTTGGACATCCGACGTCATCCCCAGTTTGTGAAGATGCTTCCAGCGAAACGCTCCTTATCCCCCTTCTGTTTTTCTCTCGCCACACTTGGGTCCGAGCCCTTGCAGGGAACATGTTCAAATGAGCATCAAAGTAAAGAGGCACCGATGGCATGAACTCATTGCAAGGGCTTTCCGTTTGATAGTGGCCGCGATGACGGTCTTGTTGGGGTCGTTCCCGGCGCCAGGGGACACCAGGAACCAAGAGGCCTGTGACAAAACAAACGGGGCACCGCCATATGCAGATTCGTAGTTACACGTACATGTGCATATGCATGCACATGCGGACGACGTAAGTACACACATCATGTACGTCCGCTTGTGTATGTCAATATACATTTGAATATGTAGTTATGCATATCTTTTCATGCTCACATGTAGGTATGTAGACAAGATGTATATCGTATACAAATGTATAGATGTACGTATCTGTACGTGTACATTCCACTGCACATATCAGTGGGCAGTAATCTGTGTAGCGTAATTGGATTTGTATACGTACCCGGGGATGTGTAGGAATATGTAGATGGTTGTGTACATGTAGTCGATGTGTATATATGTAAATGTAAATGTACGTGTGCATGCGCATGGATATGTATCTGGGTATGCCGATGCATGTATATGTGTCCACGTTCATGTCTAGGTTGACATGTTTCCACATTCTTGCATTTGTTCATGTGTATATACGTGTTGCACGTGTACATTACATGCACATGTACATGTACACGTGTACACATATGTATTTGTCTGCGTGTCTATAGGTATGGGCAGGTATGCATAAACGTAAAGGTTCACATGCATACATGTACCCGTGTTGCCCATGTTGGTGATGTACATCGGCACGGATACGTATATGTGTATGAAGGTGTCTGTATATTCGTATGCCTGTGCGTATACATGTGCTTATGTACATGCAACTGTGTGTCTATATGTATATGGACTACAGATGCGTATGCATATGTGTATATATATATAGATATATGTGTACATGCATATATATATATGAATGCACGTGCATATGTGTTTGTATGTGGACGTGTATACGTATACGCATTGCACGTGCACATACAATTGTATGCGCACATGGACCGAATAGGTGTATGTAAATGGTTATGTCTATGTGGCTGTGGATGTAATGTGCTCGCGTATGTACATGTACATGTATATGTACACAGGTACATGCTGTTGTGTATGCGCGCACGTAGGTATTACTGAATGTATGTGCATATGTGATTATATTAAGGAGTACGCGCCAGGGGGGGCGGACTGGTGCCTCTGGTACGCATGCGGGTCCGGCGGCTCCCGGACCGCTCAAGACGTGGTCTGGGCCGTCCCAAGACCGCTCCTTCACGCATCTCGGGCGCTTCGGCGCCCTTGGGCGCTTTCCGGGGCGTTCGGGATCGGCGTGGCGTTGCCCCCAGACGATTCAAGAAAGCTCCCAGACGATCTCAGAAGGTTCCAGTTACATTCTCAGAGGGCGCCAACAGTCATAACTCAATGATTTCTCATGAGTTGTTGATTGACTTTTGCGTTCTCCCTCGTTTTGTCTTTCTATTCCGCCGGGCGACCCCAGAGCCTCCCAAGATCGCCCGGAAGCGACCCCAAAAATTGGCCAATAGGGCCCCAAGATGGCCCCAGAGACCCTGC